CTAAGACCAGTGACCGAACTTTTGAGGGGGTCCCGGACCCCAACCGCCAAACGGTGCGCGCATGGCAGCCACGCCCATATTTGGTCCAAATTAGGCCCAATTTAGCCAAATACCCTGAACATGCCCAAAACCAAAGTTTATGGTGCTCTACTTGTAGCTAGTGGTCTCCTGAACTCGTATATGAAATTTCATCAAGATTGGACAAAAAATGACCGAGTTATGAGCCAAAAACCATATGCCCATATTTGGGCATACGCACCAAATTTGGTAGATTTCGTCCCATAAATTGGTCAAATATCAATATTTTTGAATGAAACTTACTTTATATGAAAGGTAAGCCTAAACTACATATTATCTGTAAGTTATAGCTTTATATCTGTTTAAATGTGGATACTAAGGCGAAAAAACCACAAAAAATGAACTAAATTGCCCATATCTCGGTTCGCGATATTTGCGGAATTGATCTCATTAAAATTGTAACAACTCAATCAGTTTTCAAAATTTTTGCATGAAATTTTCGGAATCGACTCGAAATCGCATTTCCACCTTATTTTAAATACGGATTTTTGATTTAGGCCTCCAAAAAAATTTGGCGGCCAAATTCTGAATTTTTGTGAGATAATTTTGGAATTTGGCCGCCAAATTTTTTTGGAGGCCTAAATCAAAAATCCGTATTTAAAATAAGGTGGAAATGCGATTTCGAGTCGATTCCGAAAATTTCATGCAAAAATTTTGAAAACTGATTGAGTTGTTACAATTTTAATGAGATCAATTCCGCGAATATCGCGAACCGAGATATGGGCAATTTAGTTCATTTTTTGTGGTTTTTTCGCCTTAGTATCCACATTTAAACAGATATAAAGCTATAACTTACAGATAATATGTAGTTTAGGCTTACCTTTCATATAAAGTAAGTTTCATTCAAAAATATTGATATTTGACCAATTTATGGGACGAAATCTACCAAATTTGGTGCGTATGCCCAAATATGGGCATATGGTTTTTGGCTCATAACTCAGTCATTTTTCGTCCAATCTTGATGAAATTTCATATACGAGTTCAGGAGACTACTAGCTACAAGTAGAGCACTATAAACCTTGGTTTTGGGCATGTTCAGGGTATTTGGCTAAATTGGGCCTAATTTGGACCAAATATGGGCGTGGCTGCCCTGCGCGCACCGTTTGGCGGTTGGGGTCCGGGACCCCCTCAAAAGTTCGGTCACTGGTCTTAGTTTGTTGGTCAACTGCTATCTCGAAATCAAGTTTCACAAAAAAATATCCATTGGCCCCCCCCCCCTTAATTTCTATAACGATTTAAATAAAAATGGAAAGCGGTTCAAGACGGGAGTGATGAGGTGTAATAGTCGGTGTTCAGACCTTATGATCATGGAATGTGGTGCCTCATGGCTATAATGACTTAATTATCCACAAGAAATAACTGATTATGAGATTATTGTTTAAGAAACTATTGGGTCACCTAATGCGGGTTTTGACTCAGCGGGTAATTACTCCTACCCTTTTTAACTGCGGCAGTGAAATCCCGGCCGGAGGCCGGGTTACACTAGTATATTGATACTATGTTGATAACAATTTTGCGCAACCATTTAACCTTTTCTTTTGCACAGTCTGCGAATTTCTTAAACAACAAATATAATTAACCAATTTATTTGGACGATATTTTCTACCTCAGCAATACATAGTTAAGTAATGATATTTTCCCCTCAATTTTTGTCATTTAGTTGGTGTTGTGAAGATAATGTTAAGTGCTGTAAAGTGCGGTATTAGGTCAACAGTGCGATTTCGCGCCCACCGCACTTATATACGTTGCCTTTGCGGGCTACGATAGAATCATCAGTAATTAAATGGTAATTGTGTGGCAGTGTGGCTATTAACAGTGATTGTGTGGTAATTGAGCGGTACTCTTTCATACGCAGAGAAAATGGACAAGTTGTCTTCATTTATTAATAAACCTTACTCTACCTTCATGTCTTGACACAACTACTATAAATAACTCTCGTTTCAACTAAAGAACTTACTGTAGTGCTAGACTTCATTGTTAACATGAGACAGTAAGTCTTACGGCTAGAAGAAAGCATGGCAATGCATTCGTTCAAAATAATCTGCACCTTTTGTATTCATGATTCCCTTGAGAAATCTTGACGGGCCAAACAATAGTCAGACATGGTTAATAATTATAGTAAGCCAATCCTATTGTCACCACAATTGAGTTTTGGTCCGTTCAACCGACAAAGGAGACGACTCAAGAACACAAAAACCTTCAATTAAATAAAGTCAATAAACGTACACCCATCGAGATTCGAAAACAATCCCCCAATTGTCTGATGATAAAAGCACATATTTATTGTCATTTGGAAGTCACGTGGTTATGTCACATGACCAGGTCACATGACCAGGTCACGGATAGTGAAAGGATCGAAGTATCTCAATTGTGGAAGAATGGTCATTTGCATTTGGTGTAACCTTAGCTGAAGTTGCCCCGGACTTTGCCCGAGAATATTTAACAGGAGTAGAACTTTTAGAAGAGGTTTTTCAAGTTCTTAATTAATTTTTGCACCAATTCTTCAGCCACCGATTTTTGCAGCTAGTTTATATACACTAGCAGGAACCCGTATAATATAACCCTAAACGGTGTCAAGACTCAAGAGACTAAAATAATTATTACCTATTTAATTCGCGTTTTTGACACCACTTGGGGGTCCAAATTGTGGGCTCTAAAATCACTATTCCTTGGCCAATTTTTTATTTTTTCATGCTGATTAAGATTTGGAGGCCATTAAAGCATTTGACCCAGTCAAAAAAGTTTCAGTTGTATATCTTTTACGGTTTTTGCGGAAAGTCGCGTTGATGCCGTGGTGTCAGTAAAATGGCACGTAAAACTATCGTCTCGCTTTATATATAGTAAGATAGCACAGGCTATTCCGGGACCGGGACTCTACGGTGTAAGACTCTACGGCGTAAGACTCTACATCATAAGACTCTACAGCGTAAGACTCTACGGCGTAAGACTCTATGGCGTGAGAGTTTATGGCGTAAGACTATACGGTGTAAGACTCTACGGCGTAAGACTCTACAGCGTAAGACTCTACGGCGTAAGACTCTACGGCGTACGACTCTACGGCGTGAGACTCTACGGCGTGAGGCTCTACGGTGTGAGACTCTTGTTCAATTTTAAAGTATAGTATGGTAATATGGTACTGTTTTGACAGATGCGGACAGAAACTTTACAAAATTCATTACAATAGATTAAGCCGAATTCTTTTCCAAATTCTTTAGACTCACAAAGTCTGAAGTTTTTCCAATTTAAAAAGAGGCATGTCTATTGTCTAACGTTACACTAACCCTACTTATAATTATTAAGCACCATGCTGACGACAATCGTCTTGGTTGTCACCCTCCTGCAGACTCTCCACTGCCAAGGAGACTTTGACTTACCCGACTTATCTGATATACAAGATATCTACCAAAACTCGCAAGATAAAGTCCAAGACTCGCTGGATCGCTTCGAAAATATGAATTATCCTGATTCGAACTCGGGCAGTAGCCATGCCAACGATGATGAAGATGAGATAATGAAGGACACGGACGAGTATAATGAGGATCAGGATCATGACATAGTGACTGGCTTCCCGGAGGATAGAAACTCCGGACGGAGTCACGTTATTAGTGCTGGAGTGTTTGGACTGGTGATTGCCATGTTGTGTGTTATGTAGTGTCATGTGGTGTGAATTTGTGAATACTGTGCTCTGATTGGCTAGTTAGTATCACGTGATTAGTGCTGGAGTGTTTGGACTGGTGATTGCCATGTGTGTTATGTAGTTTTTGGGTGAAAAACTATCTCTGAAAACCATTAGAACCAATCTTAATCGCCTTGATTGTTTTTGAAGACCGCCGAAATTTGTCAAAAATGTAACAATAGTGCTTTAAAAATCTCGGATTTTTGAGTGCTCTTTAAGCACTTTTGTCAGCAAATGGCAGTTATGTAGTTAGTGCTTTTGTTGTTTTCTCTAAAAAGCAAGGAAAATTTTATTTGAATTATGCTTTTTAAAAGAGCACTTCTCTCTTTAATGTATAATTTGTTACAATATGTTTCTATCGATTATGAAAATTAAGATTGCATTCTACGTCATGGTCTTCAAAACTATTTATCAAGTATAAAATAATATGTCTTAGTCATTTTCGTTATAATTGTCTTAAAATCAAATTGTTTTACTGCTTTTTTCAGCTAAAAGTGAAATTAAAATTATTCGCTGAAAATCACTATTACAGAACGGTTGCGTGAATATTATGGAGTATAATTCAATAATTTTGATAAAAGTCAATATATAAGTCAAATTTTATTGTTTTTAAAGTTATGAGAAATGACCAGCTAAAATTCGTTAAAAATTTTGCGCGACCATTTAACCTTTTCTTTTGCACAGTCTGCGAATTTCAAACAACAAATATAAAAAACCAATTTATTTGGACCAAAAATTTGGAATGAACTACCCTACTCAGTGAGATCATTATCATCAGTAGAATGTTTTTAAAATGCCCTAAAGACATTTTATTTCCTCCTAGCTTTTGAAGTTTTGATAATATTAGTAATATTTGTCTATAATGTCTGAACTGATATGAAAGTGAATAATTTTGGTAATTTTATACCAATATTTGTCCATAAATTCTGAACTAATAAAGTAATAAAGAAGTGCATAATCCTGATATTTCCACACTAAGTCTCGCTTGAATGACTTAAATGTACATCTTTGTTGGGTATATTTTAATGTCGAAGTGTGTAATAAATGTTAGAATTTATTTATTATTTATTTAATAATGTTGACTAAATTAATGAATTAATTGTAATAACTAAACTTCAAATTAAGTTGGTGAATGTTAAAAGGATACCATGGGTTTTAGCAGGTAGCATCTTTTAAAAATAAATTTAAATAAAATTCAAAATTTAAAAAAGATACAGATAAAATAAAAATAAAATTGTAAATTTACCTGAAGTTCTGGAGTCCAGCTTTCTTTGTCAAGAGGAGAAAACTTGCCTTTCCACCGGAGATGGCACCACGGATTCTTCAGCTGGATCATCCGGAGACCGTTTACATTCTTCAGATCAAGGACCTGAGGGAGGGTAAGATCAGAAAATGTAAGCCTTTTGAGAATTTAGGAATCATTGATGTGTTATTATTATGTAAAGGGAAGGCTTACTGTAATTTCTATACAAAAGTTAATGTAAAATGGCTTACTAAACATGGAGGGGTGAAATTGTAATGTTTGGTTACGTCTATGAATTCAATTCGAAATTATATCCTTGGTGATTGAAGCCTAAGAAATAATAAAATGGTGATTTTTCGTCGCTTGATGCGGAATTGATCGCTGACGTTACTCCCGACTTGCTCTGATCCTTAACATTCCTGATTCCCCAATTTAAAAAAACTTGGTATCCCCGTTTAGGGAAAATTGTCGGCTATCATGTATGGGACAATTATTCGAAGACCAGCAAATCGAGGGAGCACCCTACGGTACATCCCGCAGCTGGTGATTAAATCACCAGGGAGCAGGTGGCACATTCCACAGCTTGAAAGTAATTTGATACAGCCCACAGGTCATTAGCAAAGACTCATTCAAGTCATTGGTGAAATTAGCGAATTAGAAGATCCCAGCAGATACAGAACCCTCTGACTACATATCAGTAGTTTCCCTGATTATATACCACAGGGCTGGAGAGGAAAAGGAGCTATATCATTATCAGTCACCAGTACTACGATTAAAATTCTAACATGAGACAGCGTGTAATCCCACCAATAGCAGTATAGCACGTACGTGTGCTGTTGGCATGTAACATGATATATCAATCAGACACTTGGGTATTGAGCTGAATCCCGTAGACTGTGCTCTCCCCAACTCTCTCTTCTTCACGGTCAGTTTCGTTGTTATGTTTCGTTGTTATGCTTCGTTGTTATGTTTCGTTGCTATGTGCCTATAAATCATAACTCTGCCGCGAAAGCTGGCCTTTAAAGTGCGAGCTTTTCGTGGCCGTGCTGTAATTAATTCATTACTTACTTAATTAAATCACTACTCAGTTGTGGCTGTAATAAACCCTGTGTAAAGACCTGCGTTTGTTGTAAACATGTTGTAATCTAGTTTTTATACGATTCAAAAATTAATTTTGTATATAGCAATGTAACAAAGCAATGTAACAATAAGTAGCTCCCTCACCTTTGCATTCCAGTGTATATATAATGTTTATATATATAGTAATTATATATAGTATTATATATATAATGTTTATATATAGTAATTCGGAGCTGTCATCAAGTTCGTGTGTATAATACTAAAACAACATGGTCTAATAATCTACTGTAGCAGCTCCATGACAACCAGTGCAGTTACCACGACAACAGCTCACTTCTGAGCACACTTCTTAGGTTCAGAGAGACGACATTTAAATTTTCACTTTCGATATCCTCCATTTTATTTTAATAGAGTTTGGGTTAAGATTACGGCGAGGCTTTAGAAAGCACATGTTTAAACTTTAATAAAATGTCTCGGGCTAAAAGTAGATATTTGACCTCGTTTTCAGCTTTTTACAAGCCATACTGGTGTACTTGTCAAATTAGTTACTACAAAAAAGGACCACGTACTTTCGAAAGTTGGATTAGTTTGCTAGTTTGTTCAACTTGCGGGAATCTTAGTACTAGTAAATGTATGTATTTCTGAATAGAACCTTGAAGCCCTAGGGTTCTGAGGGTACAACTTTTTATATATTCGTGTAGCCGAAACACCAATAGCATGTACAATGTATAGTGTACAGTGTATCAATTGATGTATAGTCAAGACATGAGTGTAAGGCCTCTCATTGACAAATTTATGTTTAATACACTTATAAATCGTCACACTTTATCTAGGCCTGGTCAGCTGATCACGTGGGCTGGCAATTGTCGCGACTTCAGCTGTGGTCATGGCAACGGTAATCAATAATCACTGATAAATACTTCATGTAAACGACGGAACTATGTTCGACATGAGTTCTGTCTTGTTTGCTGGGATGTGATTTGAGTGATTTTAAATTACTGTCATCAATAGAAATGATCGTTCATCAGTTGTTCCTTAAACGACTTACGATCATTTTACGTTTTAGCGAGAAGTCGTGAAGTCGTGCATGGTGCTTTTTATTCTTAGCTGATTTTCTCAATGGTTCCACAGTGGGGGGGGTGTCATGTCCGTCTATGTCCGCCTATGTCCTGTCCTTTTTGGATTCTATGAGACAACGGACGTGTTTTTTGGGACATTGGCGGACACGGACGGACATTGGCGGACTCGGACGGACATTGGCGGACTCGGACGGACATTGGCGGACTCGGACGGACATTGGCGGACTCGGACGGACATTGGCGGACCCGGACGGACATTGGCGGACTTGGATGGACATTGGTGGACATTAGCGGACATTGGTGGACATTAGCGGACAAACATTTTGAGGACTGAAGAGTACTGAAGAGTACTGAAGAGTACTGAAGAGTACTGAGGAGGATGGCTGAGAAGGATGGCTGAGGAGGATGGCGGAGGAGGATGACTGAGGAGGATGACTGAGGAGGATGACTGAGAAGGAGGAGAAGGATCAGGAAGACCCAGGAGGAGGAGGAGGAGGAGGACCCAAAAGGAGGACCTAGGAGGAGGAGGAGGAGAACTGAGGATGATGACTGAGGAGGAGGAGGACTCAGGAGGAGGACTGAGGAGGACTGAGAAGGAGGAGGACTGAGGAGGATGGCTGAGGAGGATGGCTGAGGAGGATGACTGAGAGGGAGGAGGAGGAGGAAGAGGAGGAAGAGGACTGAGGAGGAGGAGGAGAAGGACTGAGGTGGAGAAGGAGGACCCAGGAGGAGGAGGACCCAGGAGGAGGAGGACCCAGGAGGAGGACCCAGGAAAAGGCCCCAGGAGGTTTAGGAGGACTGGGGAGGAGGAGAACTGTTGAGGACTGATGAGGAGGACTGAGGACGAGGAGGAAGAGTAGGAGGAGGACTGAGGAGGGGAGGAGGAAGAGGACTGGGGAGGATCAGGAAGACCCAGGAGGACCCAGGAGGAGGAGGAGGAGGAGGACCCAGGAGGAGGAGGAGGACTGAGGAGGACTGAGGAGGAGGACTGACGATGACTGAGAAGGAGGAGGACTGAGGAGTACTGAGGAGGATGGAGGAGGAGGATGGCTGGGGAGGATGGCTGAGGAGGATGACTGAGGAGGATGACTGAGAGGGAGGAGGAGGAGGACTCAGGAGGAGGACTCAGAAGGAAGAGGAGGAGGACTCAGGAGGAGGACTCAGGAGGAGGACTTAGGAGAAATGAGAAGGAGGACTGAGGAGAACTGAGGAGGAGGAGGAGGAGGAGGACTGAATAGGAGGAGGAGAAGGAGGGGGACTGGGAGAGGACTGGGGAGGAGGAGGACTGATGAGAAGGATGAGGAGGAGGACCCAGGAGGAGGAGGACTGAGGACCGAGGAGGAAGAGGAGGAGGATGAAGAGGAGGAGGAGGACCCAGGAGGAGGAGGACTGAGGAGGAGGAAGAGGAGGAAGAGGACTGAGGAGGAGGAGGAAAAGGACTGAGGTGGAGAAGGAGGACCCAGGAGGAGGAGGACCCAGGAGGAGGACCCAGGAAAAGGCCCCAGGAGGAGGAGGAGGACTGGGGAGGAGGAGAACTGTTGAGGGCTGATGAGGAGGACTGAGGATGAGGAGGAAGAGTAGGAGGAGGACTGAGGAGGGGAGGAGGAAGAGGACTGGGGAGGATCAGGAAGACCCAGGAGGACCCAGGAGGAGGAGGAGGAGGAGGACCCAGGAGGAGGAGGAGGACTGAGGAGGACTGAGGAGGAGGACTGACGATGACTGAGAAGGAGGAGGACTGAGGAGTACTGAGGAGGATGGCTGAGGAGGATGGCTGGGGAGGATGGCTGAGGAGGATGACTGAGGAGGATGACTGAGAGGGAGGAGGAGGAGGACTCAGGAGGAGGACTCAGAAGGAAGAGGAGGAGGACTCAGGAGGAGGACTTAGGAGAAATGAGAAGGAGGACTGAGGAGAACTGAGGAGGAGGAGGAGGAGGCGGACTGAATAGGAGGAGGAGAAGGAGGGGGACTGGGAGAGGACTGGGGAGGAGGAGGACTGATGAGAAGGATGAGGAGGAGGACCCAGGAGGAGGAGGACTGAGGACCGAGAAGGAAGAGGAGGAGGATGAAGAGGAGGAGGAGGACTGAGGAGGAGGACTGAGGAGGACCCAGGAGGATGGCTGAGGACTGAGAGGGAAGAGGAGGAGGAGGAGGACTGAATAGGAGGAGGAGGAGGGGGACTGGGGGAGGACTGAGGAGGAGGATGGAGGACTGAGGAGAAGGATGAGGAGGAGGACTGAGGAGGACTGAGGAGGAAGAGGAGGAGGATGAAGAGGAGGAGGACCCAGGAGGAGGACCCAGGAGGAGGACTCAGGAGGAGGAGGAGGAGGACTGGGGAGGAGGACTGTTGAGGACTGATGAGGAGGACTGAGGACGAAGAGGAGGAGTAGGAGGAGGACTGAGGAGGGGAGGAGGAAGAGGACTGAGGAAGATCAGGAAGACCCAGGGGGAGGAGGAGGAAGAGTAGGAGGAGGAAGCATCTAAATGTTATTTCCATTTTTGTCCGTTTTTGTCCATTTTTGTCCGTTTTTGTCCGCTCTATTTTTTGTCCGTTTTGAAAATATAGGGTACCGAACGGACAAAAAACATGATCCCCCCTATAACAGCAAAAATTGATCATTTTATTTAGCAATTTAGGTGTCCATTTATGTCCGCCTATGTCCGCCTATGTCCGCCTATGTCCGTCTATGTCCGCCTATGTCCGCCTATGTCCGCCTATGTCCGTCTATGTCCGCCTATGTCCACCTATGTCCTGTCCTTTTTGGATTCTATGAGACAAGCGGACATAGACGGACGTGACACCCCCCCCCCCCCCCACAGTCGATATAACCACAGTCGATATAACCTTCATAATAATTATTTTTAATTTCTTTTTGTTTTATTCTTTTTTGGGATCGGAGCCATAACTCTGGACTTGTTCTGGCATTCCTAGTTACTAGTACAAGCAGGAACCCGTATAACCCTAAATGGTGTCAAGACTCAAGAAAATAAAATAATTATTACCTATTTAATTTAATGTATCAGTGTAGCATTGTGTCGTAATTCATATACTAACGTTTGTCAAAAGTTGTTCATATATCTATTTAACTAATAACTAATTCCTCAAAAAAGAGCAGGATGAATATATCAGGATGTGTGGCGGTAATAATATTAGTAATAGCAATGATGCTACTTTACACTGATAATAGCTTGTCAGAAGCTTACACAGACTCCCGGAGAAGAAGCAGTGGAACTGCCTACACGTAGGGAGAGTTTTATTAATTAGTTGTTCAATTAATTGATTGATTTAAATTATTTAAGATCAAATAGGGGGGGGGGGGGGGGGACTTTACAATTGAAATATAAACTTGATCTTTGAACAAAATATGCCATCCTACATTTTACTCATTACCTATTCTGTTTTCTTATATATTTTCTAATTATTCGTCTCATTCAAACCGTTCATCACCATTTAATACGTAACGCATTTAATTAATTAATCAATGTAATTAATTAGGGACAGGAGAAGAGCTTCCTACGATTCAAGAAGACGTACATACGATTCACGAAGACGATCATTCGACGATTCAAGAAGACGATCAACCGACTCAAGAACACCCTCATACAACAGGAGAAGGGGGCATATAGATAATAATACAGGCTCCTCGGGTAAAGTACCCTGGAAAATAGTGGCAGGAATAGTGGGTGGAGTAGTCGCGTTATTCCTGTTGTACTGTTGCTGCAAAAAAATGCAGGAATCTAAATATGAAGATCATGTGGGAGCATCATATGGAGCATCTCCTACACCGGCACCAGGCGGATCATTCCCTTCTCCAGCACCAAGTGAAGCGTATCCAGCACCAAGTGGAGCGTATCCAGCACCAGGTGGAGCGTATCCAGCACCAGGTGGAGCGTATCCTCCACCGGCACCAGGTGGAGCGTATCCAGCACCAGGTGGAGCGTATCCAGCACCAGGTGGATCATACCCTCCACCAAGTGGAGCATACCCTCCACCGGTACCAGGTGGAGCGTATCCTCCACTGGCACCAGGTGGAGCGTATCCAGCACCAGGTGGATCATACCCTCCACCAAGTGGAGCATATCCTCCTCCGGCACCAGGTGGAGCGTATCCTCCACCGGCACCAGGTGGGGAATATTCAATGAAACCACCGTCTTACGATGAACTTAACATCCCTGGAGACAACAGTCAGAGTAAAGATACACCTCCAGGTTACTCACCAGAAATAGATGCCAAACCTCGATTTTAAACAACTCATTCTTGATACTAAAGCGAAGGTGAACCATATTTTTTAAACACACGACAGTGATTAACCAATCAGCTTCCAGGCTCCAGCATTGAATTTGACTAACATGAACCCAATATCACAGAACCAGGACCAGGACCAGATAAACCCTCGTTCAAATTCCCGAAGTTCGAATGATAATTCCCAGGACCACGAACAGGACCAGGACCAGGACCAGGACCAGGACCAGGACCAGGAACAGGACCAGGACCAGGACCAGGACCAGGACCAGGACCAGGACCAGGACCAGGACCAGGACCAGGGTCCGGAATATGGAGCGGATAAGCCACAAGTGGGTAGTTTAGACAGTTAGTCTAAACTTTCACTCTTACAAACTGGAAAAAACAAACTCAGGAAACTTGATCTAAGATTCGGGCTTCCATAGATCAGTCTTGACCATGACAATAATAGAGTTTTTTAGTATAGTGCTATGGTGTAGGAAATTTAGTGAAAAAATGTAGGAAAATTTGGTTGATATTTAACTATCAGTGCTTTACGTTTTTACATTTGATTTATCATTGAATTTATAAATTGATTTAAAAGGTACAATGGGTAACTGCAGCTGATCTGCCTAGGAGGTACTGAATTTAGCGATATATTTTTAATTAGTTTGCATGTGATCGTGAATAACTATAACTTTACAAGATGTTATTTCTATTATCGTTTTATCTAATCAGAGGGAGTTTTTCTTGTACTTAATGGTCTACCGAAGTCGTATGTCGAGCTTTATTAAATTAAACTAAGAACAATATGCCCAAAAACGGTTTTCCTATATTTGGATATATGCCAAAATTGAATAGCTTTCAGCCCATCAATCGTTTATCTAAATCAACTGCTAAGAATGTTAAAGCTTAAAAAGCAGTATTAATACTCCTTGCGTCCAAGATTGGAGCTCCTCTTGTATTTACGAAGGAGCAATTGGCTATATATTCCGCTCAACGTCTCAATGCAAATCGGCAACAAACATTTGTAACAAAAATCTGTCATAGTTCTCGAATTTCCCTGCATAGTGCTGTGAATATCCCGTATACCCGAAACGGCACCGGACACACAAATCTTACCTCTCCGGGACCGAGACGTACCGCAACAGTCAGACTATAAAAGGATTATACATTTCGAAGACTGATTACAATTGTCATGTCAGACTCAGATCGTCAAGAACCTCACAGCAACTCTCTACTCTCGAAACTACGCCGCCTTTTTATGAAAAATTCTTTAAGTTCTGGAGGATGCGAAGGATGTTCTAAACATGGGTCCCAACACGAAAGTATGGTATTCATTTTTCGCTGCCCTTAAAAAATGACCGGAGAAAGGTCTGGACACCGAAAATGATGGTAGACTTAGAAAAAAGACCTGAGGGCTGAGGTATATCGACGTCGATGGACCTATTTAATAGTACGGTGATATTAATTATGTTTTACAGCGGTTTCGTGGATTACTTCTGATATTGAGATTATTTTAATTTTATTTAATTAAACGGATAGATGTGTGGGAATAAAACGATCTGTTTAAGTTTTTAAAGGAAAGCTAGAAATGTCTATATTGCAAAAAGGTTCACTCATGCATTACAACTGAAATCTAAAATATGTAAAAGAATTTGATTTTATTGACCAGGAAATTTGTCTGATAAGTCTGTTGAAAAAAAAACGGTGTTTTATAAAACGGTGTATTCATTTCGCACTCTGTTACTGGCCGAATAAACGCAGCCCTAGCTAATCAACCATGTATGGCTGTATAATCTACAAGTTCAACCAAAGTTCTTGACCAAAATATCAGAACACTCCACCATAGCTTCATCTATAAAGTTATCGGCAGGAAACAAGTGCTTAACATAAGAGCAATGCCCTCCGCAAGCAAACAACCAGAAGCACAAGTTAGGGTCCCTCTCCATCACCTCTATATCATCTAAATCTATCGGAGCAGTAGGATCATCATCTGCATTGATAACAATTAAGGGCCGTGAGAGAGATGATCTTTCAATCTTTTTATGAGGGGAAGTTTTGTTGATGTAATCTTCTTCGTCTTGGAATGCACCCTCTGCTAAATGAGAGAGACCAATCTTGTAAAGTTGATGCACATCGTAGGGTTGTTCCATTGACAGTGAGGATAAAACTTCGAATCTTTCCTTGCCAATCTTTTCATACACTTGTTGGGCAAACTCTTCGTTCCCTTTCTTTCCGACTACCAGTAAATTCTTAGTGTACTTAGCCCATGGTTTCACATAAAGGGAGTAATTGGGGTCAATCATCATCTTCTTGTTGGCTGATTCCGCATTCCATTGTACACTGTGAATTACCCCTCCAACAACACTAGAGTTGACTTCAGTGGATGTAAGATAATCGACTATACAATAGCCTCCAAAACAGTCCCCCACCAAGAGTATCGGTCGGTCTTTAAACATTTCTTTCAGATAGGTGACTATAGCTCCAACCTCATTATATTTACCGTATGGTAGGCTGAACTGAGGGGTCCTGAAAGGGGTGTTGGATCTGCCTCTGTAGTTGCACATGTAGATATCTCCGTAGCCTGAATTCAGGTAAGATGCGCACAGAGTCTGCACTTTTGTGGAGTTTGTATGCTCGTTTCCTCCGGGAAACACTAAGATGATGGGTTTGCTGGCATCGGTTTCCTTGATAGGTGTGTCGTGAAGCTCCATCTTGTCCAATCCCACAGCTCCACCATCGTAAAGATCTACGATTGTCCTGGTGGTTTTTAGTTCTGGGGATTTCTCATATTTGGTTCGATAGGAAAATGCAAAGAGTGGGTTTAAGGCAGGTAATGGTGTTTTTACCAGTTTTTTAGCAAATCTGGACTGGTCCCTGACTGCACTTGCTAGGGATCCTTTTCCAAATATTTCAGGCACAGCCCAGTGCTTGAGAAGCCAATGTGTTTTTTGAAAGGTAACTCTGGCCATGAGGTACTGTCAACCTAAAGCGGGATATGGAATTAACAAATTTTATCTTTTAATTGATAATTATCAAATTAGATAGAAGGCGCAAGGACTTGTCAAATTTATCTATATTCAGGATATGGCAGGTACTCCCACCCGCATATTTGTTGTTTTGTTCTGACACAACAACCGTAATTATTTAAGTATTTAGGACAAGGCTGCAGCAGATAAGATAAGAACAGTAAATAATCATAATGTAAAATATTCACAACATATGTTAAACTAGCCCCAAACTAAAGAGGCTCCCAAATAGTGGAAACTGGAAACCCTAACTCTCCCTAAACTAAACTAGCCCCAAACTGAAGAGGCACCCAAATAGTGGAAACCGGAAGCCCCAACTCACCCTAAACTAAACTAGCCCCAAACTAAAGAGGCACCCAAATAGTGGAAACTGGAAGCCCCAACTCACCCTAAACTAAACTAGCCCCAAACTGAAGAGGCTCCCAAATAGTGGAAACTGGAAGCCCCAACTCACCCTAAACTAAACTAGCCCCAAACTAAAGAGGCTCCCAAATAGTGGAAACTGGAAGCCCCTACTCACCCTAAACTAAACTAGCCCCAAACTAAAGAGGCACCCAAATAGTGGAAACTGGAAGCCCCAACTCACCCTAAACTAAACTAGCCCCAAACTGAAGAGGCTCCCAAATAGTGGAAACTGGAAGCCCCAACTCACCCTAAACTAAACTAGCCCCAAACTAAAGAGGCTCCCAAATAGTGGAAACTGGAAGCCCCAACTCACCCTAAACTAAACTAGCCCCAAACTAAAGAGGCTCCCAAATAGTGGAAACTGGAAGCCCCAACTCACCCTAAACTAAACTAACCCCAAATTAAAGAGGCTCCCAAATAGTGGAAACTGGAAACCCCAACTCACCCTAAACTAAACTAGCCCCAAACTAAAGAGGCACCCAAATAGTGGAAACTGGAAACCCTAACTCTCCCTAAACTAAACTAGCCTCAAACTGAAGAGGCACCCAAATAGTGGAAACTGGAAGCCCCTACTCACCCTAAACTAAACTAGCCCCAAACTAAAGAGGCACCCAAATAGTGGAAACTGGAAGCCCTAACTCTCCCTAAACTAAACTAGCCCCAAACTAAAGAGGCACCCAAATAGTGGAAACTGGAAGCCCTAACTCTCCCTAAACTAAACTAGCCCCAAACTAAAGAGGCACCCAAATAGTGGAAACTGGAAGCCCTAACTCTCCCTAAACTAAACTAGCCCCAAACTGAAGAGGCTCCCAAATAGTGGAAACTGGAAGCCCCAACTCACCCTAAACTAAACTAGCCCCAAACTAAAGAGGCTCCCAAATAGTGGAAACTGGAAACCCTAACTCTCCCTAAACTAAACTAGCCCCAAACTAAAGAGGCACCCAAATAGTGGAAACTGGAAGCCCTAACTCTCCCTAAACTAAACTAGCCCCAAACTAAAGAGGCACCCAAATAGTGGAAACTGGAAACCCCAACTCTCCCTAAACTAAACTAGCCCCAAACTAAAGAGGCACCCAAATAGTGGAAACTGGAAGCCCTAACTCTCCCTAAACTAAACTAGCCCCAAACTAAAGAGGCACCCAAATAGTGGAAACTGGAAACCCTAACTCTCCCTAAACTAAACTAGCCCCAAACTAAAGAGGCTCCCAAATAGTGGAAACTGGAAACCCTAACTCTCCCTAAACTAAACTAGCCCCAAACTAAAGAGGCTCCCAAATAGTGGAAACTGGAAGCCCTAACTCTCCCTAAACTAAACTAGCCCCAAACTAAAGAGGCACCCAAATAGTGGAAACTGGAAACCCTAACTCTCCCTAAACTAAACTAGCCCCAAACTAAAGAGGGTCCCAAATAGTGGAAACTGGAAGCCCCAACTAGTGGAAACTGGAAGCCCCAACTCACCCTAAACTAAACTAGCCCCAAACTAAAGAGGGTCCCAAATAGTGGAAACTGGAAGCCCCAACTCACCCTAAACTAAACTAGCCCCAAACTAAAGAGGCTCCCAAATAGTGGAAACTGGAAGCCCCAACTCTCCCTAAACTAAACTAGCCCCAAACTAAAGAGGCTCCCAAATAGTGGAAACTGGAAGCCCCAACTAGTGGAAACTGGAAGCCCCAACTCACCCTAAACTAAACTAGCCCCAAACTAAGGAGGCTCCCAAATAGTGGAAACTGGAAGCCCCAACTCACCCTAAACTAAACTAGCCCCAAACTAAAGAGGCTCCCAAATAGTGGAAAATGGAAGCCCCAACTCACCCTAAACTAAACTAGCCCCAAACTAAAGAGGCTCCCAAATAGTGGAAACTGGAAGCCCCAACTCACCCTAAACTAAACTAGCCCCAAACTGAAGAGGCTCCCAAATAGTGGAAAATGGAAGCCCCAACTCACCCTAAACTAAACTAGCCCCAAACTAAAAAGGCTCCCAAATAGTGGAAACTGGAAGCCCCAACTCACCCTAAACTAAACTAGCCCCAAACTAAAGAGGCTCCCAAATAGTGGAAACTGGAAGCCCCAACTAGTGGAAACTGGAAGCCCCAACTCACCCTAAACTAAACTAGCCCCAAACTAAGGAGGCTCCCAAATAGTGGAAACTGGAAGCCCCAACTCACCCTAAACTAAACTAGCCCCAAACTAAAGAGGCTCCCAAATAGTGGAAAATGGAAGCCCCAACTCACCCTAAACTAAACTAGCCCCAAACTAAAGAGGCTCCCAAATAGTGGAAACTGGAAGCCCCAACTCA